GAAGAATTTTTAAGAAGTCGAGATCACCAACTTTGAATATACCGTTTTAAGAAAAAGGCGTTCAAAGAATACAATTTCAAAAAAAAAAAACACTTTTATGCCGAACATTAAAAAAACAAAACAAAAATCGAAAATTCCAGCTTAATATAACCCTTTTACAGCCTAAAAGTAGTGAAAATTACATATTTTTAGAAATATTTATAACCAGCGAAGAAAAATTACTTGGCGTTCGAATGTAATTGTACAAAAGCAAATCATAGCCGAGGAAACGACACTCACAATCGACATCCACTGTTGAAAACAAAAGAATTATGGTTTTTGTACGGTAAGATTGCAAGGTTCTGTTTACAAATAATTGCTTCTAAAACCAACTAACAATTGATTCGAATAACTATGATCGTCAACTATGGTAATTGAAGGAAGAAGTCAAGATGAAATATTCTGAACTTTCTAATAAATCTCTATTGAAGGTGAATGTGACACCCTATAGACTCCAAAAGCTTACCACATTTTTCCAATCCATTCAATACTATTTTAGTGGTCCTCGAAGGAGGAATGGGAACACTCTTACAAAAAAATCTCAACTACTTCCGAACGAATTTGAATTTTATAGAGTTACACGGGTTGCGCAGCTTCAAAAATCGAACCTCCCACTAATTTCTACAACATCTCGGGAATATTATACTAAATTTTGAAATTGATCCGTATAAAAATTTCGGGGAGCCGAAACTATATTTTCAAAGTCGATTGTCAAAAAGTTTTCGAAAACTAGTCCTTCCCGTTCTTGAATGAAAATTTTTTGCAGATTTTGGGTTTCCGGGTTTTACATTTTTCCTTGGTAAAAATTCTATGATATGTTATTAACTTAAACACGATGATTTCATTCTTCACTTCGGTTGATCCTGGCATGAGTTCCACTATCAACGCTGGCACACCTTTCTTCCAAAGAGTTGTTACTATAGTTTAGGTCTTGTAAATAGTAATCGATAATTTAAGCAAGAGATGGCCACAGTGATCTGTATCTCGCGTACTATAAGTGTGATTGGATTACGCCAGACGGCATTATAGAGCTGATATTTTGTACCAAAAATGACTTTGAAAGACATTCTAATCACATAACTCAGGATTATTTGAGCGCATGTCTCAGATCGGCACCAGTAAAGAGAAAATACGGAATGTTCTACACATCTTCTTCGATAAAGGCGAAAATGTAGGACAGACAGCTGAAAACGGTAATCGTGTTTATGATCCTTATACTGTAATAGTCAATTATAGGAGGGTATTAAAAAAAGTTGGGTAAGTTGACCAGAAAAATATAAAAAAATCTTTTTTGTATTTCTTTGTCATGTTTGTACCTTTTTATCTTCTCTGCACATTTACCATTGATTTCAATGCATTTCTTAAGCCTATAGATCCACTTCTGAAAACAGTCTTCAAAACCTTGCTTTCTAAGTTTATCATGTTCAACATTAAACGCATTAATTATCTTCTCGTTGCCATTGAAGACCTTTTCTTTTTAATTTTTATTAATTTTTGGAAATAACCAGCAATCACAAGATGCTATTTTTGGGGAATAAGGCGCTGGACGTATTTCTTCCATCCCAGAGATCGTAATAAAATGACTCGTTTTTTCAGCAGTGTGGGATGGCGCGTTGTCATGATGGAAAAGTAGCGCCGCAAATCCTCTTTCTTCCTGTTTTCCAACAAATTTTTTAAAAATTTTGCCAAACACTCTTCGGTGCAGCATTTAGCAGTTATCGTCTGACCATTTTCCAATGAAATAGCAGCTAGGATTTTACGGGTGGGTTTGCTACTGTTGGGCTCTATACCATGAATTGCTCTTCGATTTATGGATCGTACTTAGAGAACCAATATGCCTCATCAGTAACGACTTTACTAAAGTTGATAGGCTGACGATTTTCGAATTGAACAAAATGCACTCGAGGCTCATTTAGAGTCTCATTTAAAATTCGTGGTACCCATCGAACAGGTTTTTTCGTCTATCCCAGATAATTGCTTAATATTTGCTATACAATCATGAGATTTAAGCTCAATTCATTAGCAATTATTTCTTGTGTTAATCGTGGGTCTTCGTCAATTTGGTACTTCACCAGAGCTACAGTATCGTCAACAGTGGAAGATTTTGGTCAACCTTCTCGTTGTTCATCCTCTATGGAAATAAGTCCCGTATGGAATCTTCAGAACCACTTAGAAATAATCTCCAAAGACGGTGCAATCGTTCCATGTGTAATTTGGCATTCACTGAATATTTTTATTGGCTGTAAATTAGGTCGAAACCTGAAGAGAATCAAATGGCGAATTTCTGTTTGCGTTGGTGGTGGAATTTCGTCTAACCTATCCTGAGCTATCTTGCGGTTTTTCGTCTCCATTTTAGGCGATCATTCTAAAATTTGAAAGAAGACTATTAAGGTAATTGCAAAGGATTTGGTGTTTTTAAATTTAGCAAAAACAAATTGAAAGTCACCAACTGACCGAACTTTTGTTAATCCCCTCCTACACAAATTTTGTTTCATCTTTTTCTATAGTCCAATTGTCAAAATTGTCGATGAAATAATGGCGATCGAGGAGTTAGGCCGTCATTCGAGTACTATTTTTATTTTCCAGGAGCTAAAGATTGCACAAAAAATAGTTTGAACCCACTTTAAAATGTCTGAACACACAAAGAAACTAAATGAGTGGGTGCCAAATAAGTTACCGAAATTTGTACTGTGCCGAACCGTAAAAAAATCTGCCAATTTCTGAAATGGATGAAATGACTGGTTGAGGGAAATGGATCACTTACAGCAACTTCTAACAACAACGATCGTTACCAATGAGCAGTGCATCGTCACAAACGTCTATAAAACAGTATCGACGACCAGTAAGGTTCTGCTCAGTGTTTGGTGGATTTGGCTAGGTATCGTGTACTATGAGCCAAACTCTTCATTCTAGGTTGTACTATCGGCAATTGGACCGTATGAAGGCAGCAATTGCCCACATATCGAAGCTCCGAGAGCGTGTTTAGGATGTGCTTATGAAAGCGCCTAATAGTCCGGCCCTCGCACTAAGTGATTAGCAACTATTCCTGTCTTGGACCAATGATTTGGCTGTTGAAGAATTGTCCTCGAGAGAAACCTGTTAAAATCGGTTGTCCCAATTTTTTGCCAGTAGCAACAAGAGCTTCTATGAGAGAGCCAAACTAGCATTACCTTATTACCTACATAACGGCAAAAAAAAACGTTGCATGTTTGACATAAATCGAATATTTTTTGCTATGGTAAAAAGTATTGTATTAATTTTTCTTAGACCAATTTTTTTTTCTATTAAATAAAAAAGCTTAGGAAATGTGGCTTTTTTGCTTATTATATTTTTTAAGGAAGACCTTAGACGTCAATCATTGTGAAAAAAAAAATATTTTTTTAAGTTTACATTTTTTAAATAAATTAAATAAAAAAACAATTTTTGTCAACACGAAATATTTATTATTTAAATATGCTGATTTTGTTGAAGCTGGAACCAGGAAAACTCTTTCTAGCATTGAATTCAGCCACCACATATTTATTTCGGAGACGCATATGACAAATTATTTCATGGAAGGGAAATGGAAACACCGAACGGTTTTTTAATACATACATACAAAATTTAAATATTTGGATATATATTTACATGTATTTATGTACACACACACTCAAGTTCAGATATATTTATAGGGAATACAAAATAGGTTGCCGAAAAATTTAAAATGCTTTCGTTACACGCCCACCTATTAATAGAACTTTCAATTTAAATTTACCTAAATTGTGGATTTTGTTATTAAGAGAACACGACACCTAGCATAGCAACGACGACGGGACGCTCAAACTGGCGACGACAGCGTGGGTAAGCAGGTGCCGGGATATGAATTGGCGGAATGTGGCAGGTTTAATGAGTAACATGAGCATGTCGGTATGTAGACGTAGTAGAGAGATGTTTTTGGCGCACTTCACTTATGTACATATATATTCACATATATTTAAATGTGGCTCTTTGTATGTATGTGTATGTGTACATATTTATTATTATGGATACGCGTGCAGCAGGTAATTTAAAATCTCTACAGGGGAAAGGCATGGATTTTTTTTTTTTTGGAGATTTTGCTGTATGATGTATTTGAGGAGAAAACACATATTTGAAATTGTGATTATAGCATACTTTAGGGCGCATAGGGTAGCTTAAGCTCCATATACCGACATATGGCTTTGGTAAACTCTGTTTTTCGCTTGTGGGCATAAATTTGTGTGGGTGTAACAACAACTAATGGCATAATAAGTACTTATACGAGTATGTATTGTAGCATAAATTTTTTATTATATTTCTATACGTATGTATGTTTGTATAAATTTAGCGGTGCGGAATATTTGCTGCTTGGTTTGTTAGCATATAAAAGCTGCTTGGTTCTTTGGTTGGCTAGCGCAGTGAAGGTGGTTAGTTTCTCCCAGCATCCAAGGGACTGGTGCCTACGGTAGTGCCTAACGCTTAACATTAAATATTTATACACATACATATATATTTATCTTTGCATTTATTTAGCAAACTACAAGTACACTATGACTTATACTTATAAAACGGCACGCGCTGCTGCTTGGTGCCTAGTAAACTAAGGTTAAATATATATAAGCATGTTTATTTGTAGGTGTTGGTTAGAACGTCGCTGCGGCGGTGCGTATTCTAAAGCCAGTCTATGCCTACATAAAATATTCTCACAACTTTACGAATAAAAATATTATTTTAATTTTAATCACACATACATATCCGTAGGTGTATGTGTTGGTGGATTTATCATTAAGTTTCAAAAATTTGTATGTAAATATGTAATAATTTATTATTAAAAAGCCACTGCGCATTTACACAAAAAAATTTTAGGTAATTGCATATTATATAATTCATATGCATGAATAGCGCAAAGGAAAATAAGAAATGCTCAACAAATATAAGCATTTTAGGCACAACGTCGAACTGACCTGATTTCGGACTGACCAAATCCTTAGTTTTGTTATTCATGCGACGTGGACCGGTGCCACCAGAACCCATGGGTCCGGAGTGTGGGCCAGAACCGGGCGTACCGCAGCCGCTAACACCGCCCGTTTGACCTGGAATGCAAATATAAATCAATAAATTTTAAATTTTTTTGTTAATGTACATATTTAATATGCAATTGAACAAAATTAAATACATTAGCACAATATGAAATAGAAGATATAAACACAAAACAAGCAAGAAAGCAAAAAAAAGGTAAAATAAAATTAACTTAAATGAAATGAAGGGAGAAATAAAAGAAAATAATTTAAACCAAAATAGTAAAAAGAAAATAAAATAAAAAATTCAAATAAAATAAAAAAAAATATAAAATATATATTTAAATTTAATTAAACTAATTAAAAAATTCAAAATTAATGAATAATATTAGTTATTATACAAAAATAAATTAAATAGAAGAAAATAAAATAAAGTGACAAAAAATAAGAAAATAAAATAACATTATCTAAATACCATTAAATTAATTAAAAACGAAAAGAGAAAACTTAATATTTTAAATTAAATATATTATAACAAAAAAAAAATAAATAACATAATATAAAATAAAATAAAATAAAGTCAAATTAAGTCATCTAAAATAAACTAAATTAAAGTAAGAAAAAAATAAACAAAACTAAAATAAAATAACATAAAATAAAGTAAAATAAAAAATATAAAATAAAATAATTAAAAAAAATAAAATAAAATAAAATAAAATAAAATAAAATAAAATAAAATAAAATAAAATAAAATAAAATAAAATATAATATAATAAAATAAAACTAAATTAAATTAAATTAATTTAAATAAAATAAATTAAACAAAACAAAATAAAATAAAATATAATAAAATAAAATAGAATAAAATAGTATAAAATAAAATGAAATTAAATGAAATAGGATTAAATAAAATAAGACAAAATAAAATAAAAGAAAATAATATAAAAAAATAAATTTGAAAACCAAAATAAAAAAAAATGTTTTAAAATAAATTAAATCAAAATAATTTAAAATAAACTAAAGTAAAAAAAAATAAAATAAAATAAAGTTAAATGAAACAAAATAAGATATACAATGTAAAACAAAGTAAAATAAAGTTAAGCAAAATGAAATAAAATATATAATTTATAAATAAATTAAATAAAAATAAAATAAAGCAAAGTAATGTAAAATATAATAAAATATCGTGAACTAAAAAAGTTTACAATTAGAAATTTAAAAATTATGTGAAATATTTAAAAAAATTTAATTAAATGGAAAAAACTACAAACTCAAAATCAAAACAAATAAAAAAATAATGAAACTTAAAAAAAATAAGGTAATATTATAATATAAATATTAAATTTAATAACAAACTTAATTTCGAATTAAGGAACAAAAAAATTAAAAAAATTTAAACTAAAAAAAGTAAAATAAGAAATTTATGGAAATATAGAAAAATATTTTTATATTTTACGGAACTAAAAAAAATAAAATAAAATGAAATTAAATTAAATAAAAAATAATAAAATGGAAAATAGAAAATTAAGTAATATCAAGTAAAAAAATATCTAATGAATTATAAAAAATAAAATAAAATGTATGAAAATTAAACAAAATAAAGTGAAATAAAATAAAAAAAATATAGTGAATTAAAATGTAATAAAGTCAAATTTAAGTAATCTACAACAAATTAAATTATTGAGCAATTAAATAAATTAAACTAAAATAAAAGCAGAAATAAAAAGGAATAAAAAAATATAAAATAAAATTAAACAAAACCCAATAAAATAAAAAAAAAATTAAATTAAATTAAGTAAATAAATTTAAAAAAAAAATAAAAATTAAAAATAACAAACTAGATTAAAAAAAATAAAATAAAATATATTGAAATAAAAAAGTTAAATATTAAAAAAACATGCGAAATATTAAATACAATTTATTTAAGAAAAAATACGAAATTAAAATCAAAACAAATAACTAAATAATAAAAGTGAAAAAAACAACACAAAATAAATAAATTTTAAACTAAAATAAAGTAAAAAAATAAAATTATGATAATAAATAATATATAATTAAATGACAATTATTGAAAATTTATGAAAAGAAAGTAAAATTAAATCGAATAAAATATAATAGAATTAAAATTAGAAAATAAAATTAAATAAGGAATTTAAATTAAGTCAATTGGAATTGTTTTGAAAAATTGAATTTATGTAATTAATAAATAAAAAAAATAATAAATAATTAATAAAATAAAATTGAAAATCAATTTTAAAACACACTTTCCCGCACAAACTCACCTGGCAACCTTGGTGGACGGGGCTGTTCAACCGGAAGCACTCTTCTCCGTTTCTTCGGCAGTTTAGCTCTAGCTTGCGTATGCGAGTAGTACATGGCAAAGTTGCTCACAATGACGGGTACGGGCAGTGCGATCGTTAGCACACCGGCAAGCGCACATAATGCGCCCACAAACATGCCAATATAGGTCTTCGGCACCATATCACCATAACCGACGGTAGTCATAGTGACCAGTGCCCACCATAGACCCAACGGGATACTATTAAAATCATTATGCGGATTCGGTTGTATACGTTCCGCATAGTAAACTAGGCTTGCGAAAATCACAATGCCCAATACGAGGAAAAACACCAGCAGCGTGAGCTCTTTTGCCGATGCACGAAACGTTTGTATTAGAATTTTAAGGCCGGACGAATGACGCGTCAATTTAAATAGACGCATAATACGTATTATTGAGAAAAATTCTAAAATATCGGCATTCTCTAAATGTGATGCGAACGTTTGAAGCACAAGATCGATATAAAAACTAAGCGTTGCTATATAATCTATGATGTTAACAGATGACTTTATGAATTCACATTTATTTGGCGATGATATGAATCTAACCTATAAGAGGGAGGGAAAAAGAGAAAGAACTTTAGGTGGTGTTTTTCATCAAGGAAAATGATTGATGTATTTAGCGGTTATTTTACCAATACGTAGAGCTATTTAAATAACAATGTTTTTACGGGTATATATATACATAAGTATTGCATTTACGAAGGTGAACCGAAAGATGTGGTTTGATTCTTAAAACTCCGCAGAACTTAGTAAATACAAACTTGAGGGGACATAGTGCTTGAAGTTTACGTTGGTTACTTAGGGTTCGAATGTGGACTTGTGGAATAGTAGGAGTTCAGTTTATAACAATATCCAGACCTTCACTGTGCTAGTATTAATTGGGTCTTGTGAAGCTCGAACTTTTCAGCTGCTAGGAGAAGTGTTTGGTTTCAAAGGACGCCACTCACAATTAGAGACTATTTGAAAATGCTGATAGACATATTGTGAGTCTTATTTTAGCTTTGAAGGTAGCACGTTGGGTCCAAAGGTTCTGTAACATATTGTTGTATCAAATCCCCAAAGTCTGAGGCACTTTGTTCCTTAAGTTTCTGGGAGACGGTTCTGTTACAAGCAGATATACGCCTTCCAGTATATAAAAAATTATGCTTGCAGCTTCTTCAACTATCCGGAGTTGTAGCTAAGTCTGCTCTTTCATAGGACAAAAGCCGAAATAAATCTTAGAATGCAATTCATAAAAGACTCTTCAGTATGGGTGGTCGTAGCTCAAACTTTGTATGTCTTTCAGTGATAAAGTTCAGACCGATTATACAGACTTTTCTCTCGATTAACCTTTGTATGAATATCTGTAAATCTATAATCTAAGTGTCTCCTGTTACCTTCTATAGCTACTTTTTCTTTTCACTAACATCAATTTCTATCTATGTACATACCCATATATACAATAAATAAATGATTTGTCTCTTCCTCACTTACCAATATTTCGAATGTAAACCAGGCATTACAAACGCACTCAATATAAAAGAAAGCTATATGTGCATTTGTTTGTGGTTTATCGATATACCAAGCCATATTGCCGTTGGCGGTATTCACCGATGTATTCACGAGGTATGGCACACGCATATCTGGATGTGTTTTCAGACAAAATGATAAGATGGATACGCAAATGAAGAATACCGAAACTACACCGATTGTCTACAGTCAGAAAAGAGAGAGAGAGAGAAAAAGAGAGCGCGAGTAAGTGTTAGCAAAAAATATCGACAACTTTATCTATTTTTTACTTACCTTGGCCGCATTCGAACTGTATGGCTCATCGAAGAGCGACCAAATGCGCGGTTTCATTTCTTGCCACCACGACAATGTGCCCTTGTAGTAGTCCTCTTCGAAACCGAATTTGCGCGCCAATTCCTCTTCGGACGGTTTTTCTGTATCTAAATCCAGACGATCTAATACCGCTAATGTTTCTTGTGTATCCCTATGCTGTAAGTGGGAAAGAGACGGCATTAGTATTATGGTTATAATGTTCTTAGGCCTATAAGAGTAGGAAAGAAAAGCACTGTTTGTTCGGTTATCAGAGTAACTACTAATCCCCCTTACAAAAAACCCTAAACGGAGTTAGTGAGCTCACCGCTTCCTTAATGCCATGGATTCCATTTATAGACTACGAGGTATGACGAAAATGGAAAAACGAAATCAAGAGGAACGCGTCGCGATAAAATTTTACGAAACCGGTTCGGAAACGTACGCTAAAATTGTGAAAGTGCATGGCGATAGTGCTCTTAGTCGTACCCAGGTGTTTCGCATGAGCACGTCGAAGGTGAAAACGATGATCATTGGCTTTTATGATAGCCGTGGAATCGTCCACAAAGAACTCCTTCCACCGGGTGAAACCGTAAATCAAGTCTGCTATCGCCAAGTACTCGAAAGATTGGGAAAAAGAGTCAACCGGGTGCACCCAGATATTGCTCGTATCTGGATCCTTCATTACGAAAACGCGCCGTGCCACACTGCCCTCAGCGTGTCCCAGTATTTGGCATTCTAGAGGGATCGCCGTGTTGCAACAATTGCCCTATTCGCCCGATATGTCACCCTGTGACTTTTTTGTTCCCTGGAACAAAGCCGATGCTCAAAGGAACCCATTTCGAGTAGATTGAGGACATCCAGGCGGCCGTGATGAGGGTGCGCGCGGATATCTCAGTCGAAGCGTTTCAGAAATGGTACGAAGCTTAAAAACTGCGCTGGAATCGTTTAAGGGGATGCCAGAATTGTTGAATAATGTTTTTCTGGAATCAGTCTCATTACTTAATTGTCAATACGAACGGCTTTCACTCGCGTAGATGTTATCATCGACTTCCTCACAGCTTGAAACCAGAGGGAATGTTTAGGCTCCCGGAGCACTTTATATGCCTGTCATTTCTCAGACTAACTTGTTATATTATGATTTCCGGAAGAGCTCTTCCTTCATTTTGTATGCGTCTTGATGTTTTGTTCAACAATCTGAATTGGTTAAAATTGATTATACGTAATAAAACGCTGAAGTGCTCCCTTGCCAGTTTCTGTCCTTCAGCTGATTATGACGGCATATCTACCATGAAGTCTCAAGCTACAACTTTACGAAGATTAGTGAGCACGGAAAGAGGGAAATAAGAAAATAGGAGCAAAATGTGTATACTTCTAGCGAACAGACCGGGATTCTACCAGCGAAATAAAAGCTGCCGCATTTCTACTGAACTACGACTCATCACTTCTTCTCTAAAAGTTTCATCCTCTCCAGTTATGTCGCCATATCGGAATAGAGTGGTGGCAGAGAAATGTGTCTCTAGCACAGAGATTTGGCTAACTGAATATAAAAGACGAGATGAGAGTCATTGACTATAATTAAGCGATCAAATCCGTGCAGCGAAAGCACCAAGCTTTCCTCAGCCTAAAAATCTGCCAGCAATGTCAGCTGACAAATTAATTAAGAGCTGATTCTGGAAGAGTTGTGCTCCACACATCTGAATATTATGACACGAGGAGTTTCCTTAGATCAAAATTAGGTTCTGCAAAAACTCTCTTTACGTCAGTTCTTGATCTAATCTCTTTAAACTATCCGGTTTCACTAAGTGTTGATCTAAAAGTTTGCCTAGATTCTGCTCCGCTCTATCGTAAATTAAGTCGGCGCTCATGCGAATATTTCTCACATTTCCAAGCCCGAACTACCCACCTGTGTGTATGTCATCCAACAACATGGCTCCACCTGATTCGAATCCAAACCCCAAAATTCGAGCTCCTCCTCGAACAGTGGCCCGCATACGTCTGTTGGATAGTGCAGCTTGCCGGTTCTATAAAATATAAGAAAATTGGTTAAAATTGTCTAATAATTGAATTAAAACACACATCCTCACCTATAGTAGTTGAGTACTTGAGCAAAGACCCCCGGATGTCTATCGAAGAAGTATTCATTCAATATGGGATCATAGTTGGCTAACGCCTCGGTGAGGCGCGACAATCGTGTGGCGGGTATTTTCTTCAGTGTCGCCTTATACGTTTCGTGCCGAATGCCGCCCACATTCAGCACGACCCGATTTTCCGAATCCATATTTATCAGATTCATAGCTGCATGCGAGTGGTACATATTTTTAGGTATGAATTTCATTTGGTGGCTTTGATAGGTGCGTGTCTGTTGGTGCCTCATAAAAACTGAAGATTTTCTACTACTATTTTAAGTGTTTTCGGAAAAAAAAACTAAATAAAAAATTAAAAAAAAAATAAAGTGAGGGATCTAACGGCTTGGGATCAGCTACTTTGTGTGTGTATTTGTTGTTTTATTCAAATTAACCAAAATTCCATGCACTTATTATTATTGTTTAACTGTTTGTATGTATTGCTTTGTGGTGGATATGTTTTACAGTAGTTTATGTTTGTAAATATGTGTGGTTGCCCATATACGCGTATATGTATTTTTTTTTTGTTTTTTTTTTTTTGGAAAACTAAATGTTTTTTTTTTTCTTGTTTGTTTTTGCAAACCTTTCAGTTGTTATTGTTGTTCGCTCCCGTCGCGATATGCAGTTTCAATTTGCCGCCTCCGTGTGATTACAAAATATTGTTGATGCATTTGTATTGTGCGTTACCGTTATCAGTAGTTCATCGTCTTGACATTGCTGCTGATTATTACCGTTAGCTTTTAACATATCATCTGCAAGAGAGACGATGATTTAAATTTGATCAGATTTTATAGTTATTGTAAAATGTGTTTATATATACAAAACAGCTGTAAATGTCTCCGAAATATCGAAATATATACATATTTACATATAAGACTACAGATATATGTATATGTCAGTCGGGTCGTCGTATAGACGTTCGACGCAAATTGGATGCACCAAGCGAAATAGGTCTTTCCCGACCACATCTTTCCAACAGAATAGGGATTTGCCTCTTTCCCTCCAACACTTTTCCCAAAAGCTCTTAAGGCTGACTCATCGAATATCGATATCGTCCCTACTTCTGCACCAAATAACTGAGCAGGTATAATGAGCCACTTGTAGGGTTTTTTATTCATTTGTCGTGAGAGAACTTTACTCTTCAATACCTACTTATGTATGGATTTCCAGACTCACACCTGTGTTAGTGTTTATAACGGTTCCCAGATTAACGAAATGACCGTTAACAATAATGTGAGCGCCAAGACGAGAACGCAATAATTGTTTGTTTGATGACAGCAGATATTTCGTCTTGTCCACATTTACCACCAGTTCGAATGGCCTAACTCCATATCACCTCTAGGGCAAGCATTACTAACCACTCGGTTGTTGAAAGGTTGTACGCTATTGCAGCTCTCAGTTTAGCTCTTCCAATTCCATTACTTTCGATTCTATGTGCCGATCCATTGGTGGATTTATCTGATCTAAAGTTACACACTGTTGAGGTCCAGTCAGTGACAGTGAGCTATAACCTTTCGGGCGATACGATTGATGGGACCTTGAGTCGTCGGATGTAATGCAGTTCTTCATAGGCATTTTTGAATGTCTCGACCTATGACTCTTTCCTATGTCGACTCTCTCCTATGTTTTCTTTGCCACTACAAATGTGGTGGCTGCAAGGACAGGTAATACCTCCATAAGCTTAGTCTGCTCTGGGCATCGGTCACCAGTTTACCATATTAATTCTTACATAAATATTACTCGGTCTTGATACCTTCTGTGTACTCATTCTCATAAAATTATACAGCCTCACCCCTATCGGTGACCTTTTGGGGTTCTTCTTCTTTACACATTTCAACGTTTCTCTTTTTCTGTTTGCAAAGCCACCTTTTCGCTAACCAATTGTTTCTCTGGTGGCTTTACATGTGGAGCTTGATATGTCGTTCCGTCGTATGATGATTGCTCTCAGAAATTGGTAGCGCAAGGGAAGTAGAAAACCGTTTGGCTTGACTCCGACTAGCAAGGCAGCTAAATGAGTAAGCTGGTATTACTTATAACCATTTTGCGGACAGCAGCAAAGTTGATCATCTTCAGTTCAATTGCACACGATTCTTCAGAGAGGTTGAGTTTCCAGTCGGTGTGCTGAAGACACCTTCTTTGTCCATTCTGGCGTTATTATTGCCAGACAAGGACAGCGCTTAAAGATACTTTCATTCTAGACGCTCATTAAAGCTTACTTTGGTCGTAACATCCTTACCTGCCGTTGCTGCCTGAGCATAAATCAGCGAATTATTGAAAATTCCATTTTTATTGAGAGTTTTGATTGGGCATACATCCATTGGGCTTCTCTCTCACAAATACAATACAAACTTTTTCGAAGGGTCGCTGTAACATATATCGCAAGAACCTACTTTCATTCACCAGCCTCATTATTGACGAAGACACGCATTTTCTAGAGATCGGACATGCCATACACATGTCCTCAGTCGACGTTTACAGTGATCGTCAAAAAGGGAGTTTCTCATCCGAGCTTGTACGTTGATTTTCATTGTAGCTGTTTATATATAGTCGGATCCTATGCTCAGCGCATAACCATGCTGCGCGAGGGAAGTGAGTAGATGATGTGGTACGACTATAGTGAATCCTTAAACCGAATATGACGGACTGCAACCGCTTATCCAAAAGCATAACTACACCACGTCATTACCCCTTAGTACATATAAATCAAAAACACGCGAAGCTTAAAGTTTGTTATAACGGTATTTTACCAGTAAAGGAAGGCAGTGCGGCACACAAAAATGTCAGATAAATTATAACTAAAACATATACACTAACGCTTTTTCAGATTTAGTTGTTTGTGTTAAAATTCTTAAAAAAATCATTTTAGAGCGTGAAATTCGGTATTTAGCACAAATGAAAACAGACATCGAAAGTCATTGAAATCGAAACTTATTTTTCGAATATGAAAATTGATTTTTAATTCTAAAATCAATTATCGTACATTTGATATGGTCATAAAAGGTATAAAGACATCAGCATGGCCGAAGAAGGGTTTTTTTTTTTTTATTTTCAACTGAAAATCTGCTCCAGTGAACGCTTGACTTCACTTTCAAAATGAAATTTTTATTTCTTTACGCTTCAGTGATTTTTTTTTTTTTTTGTAATAACAAATCGTGCTTCTCAACATTAAATAAACTTCAATTCATGCAATTAATGGCATGACATTTACAACTAAATTTTAATTTCAAATAAATTACGCTTCCAAGTATTTTGAAACGAAAAAAAGCTCAGAATATATATATGTATATATAAGTAAGTATATATTCGAGGTGATTAACAAAAGTTTGTTAAGTTGACCAGAGATAAAAAAAGAAAATAAAAAATCTTTTTGCATTTATTCGTATTCTTTGTGCTTTTTCATCTACTCTACATAATCGTCATTGATTTCACTGCATTTCTTAAGCCTATAAATCCACTTCTGAAAACAGTCTTCAAAATCTTGCTTTCTGAGCTTATCAAGTTCAACATTAACCGCACTAATTATCTTCTCGTTGCAATTGAAGATCTTTCCTTTTTCGACTTTTTTAAATTTTGGTAATAACCAAAAATTACAAGGTGCTTCATTCGGGGAATATGGTGTTCGTTCCAAGGGATCGCAATAAAATTACTCGTTATTTCAGCAGCGTGGGAGGGCGCGTTGTCATAATGGAAAAAGTAGCGTTGCAAATCATCTTTCTTCCTGTTTTCCAAAAAAAAGTTTGAAAACCTTCTTAAAGCACTCTTCGGTGTACCTTTGGGCAATCTGACCCTTTTCCGATGGAAAACCAGCTACGATTTTAGATCGGTTAAAGTAAAGGGAAATCATCACTTTTGCTAATTTTTGTTGCTTATATATATTATATATAATATTTTACGGGTGGGTTTGCTCCTCTTGGGCTCTATACCATGGATTGCCCTTTGGTTTCTGGATCGTATTTAGAGAACCAATATTCCTCATCAGTAACGAATTTACTAAAATTTCTAGACTGATAATTTTCGAATTTGTTTAGGAAAAATTGAGCAAAATGCACTCGAGGCTCTTTAAGGGTCTCATTTAAAATTCGTGGTACCCATCGAGCAGGTTTTTTCGTCTATCCCAGATAATTGCTTAATATTTGCTATACAATCATGAGATTTAAGCTCAATTCATTAGCAATTATTTCTTGTGTTAATCGTGGGTCTTCGTCAATTTGGTACTTCACCAGAGCTACAGTGACGTCATCAGTGGAAGATTTTGGTCGACCTTCTCGTGTTCGTCCTCTACGGAAATAAGTCCCGTATGGAATCTTCAGAACCACTTAGAAATAATCTCCAAGGACGGTGCAATCGTTCTATGTGTAATTTGGCATTCTCTGAATATTTTTATTGGCTGTAAATTAGGCCGAAACTTGAAGAGAATTACATGGTGAATTTCTGTGTGTGTTGGTGGTGGAATTTCGTCTGACCTATCCTCAAATATCTGGCGTTTTCTCGCAACCACCTTAGCCGATCGTTTTAAAATTCGAGAGGAAGACTATTAAGACCATTGCAAAGGATTTGGTATTTTTAAATTTAACAAAGACAATTTGAGAGTCACCAACTGACCGAAATTTTGTTAATCCCCTCGTAAACACTTTTTTTTGTTTGGAATATCGCCTAATCATATTTATGCCAACATTTAAATTAACACGAATATTTATACAAATATATGATTGGTTAATTTACAAGGCGCCAATGCGGTCAAGTTGTAATGTACAAACAAATGCCATCACTTGTAGCAGCGTGTATATGTATGTATAAATATTTATAAAAATATATATGTACATTAACATCTGTACACAGTTGAATATTCGCCACCTCCCTGCAGGGAGAAGGTAGAATAGTATGCAAAAATTCTATTTAAATACCAGTATTTTGAAGATGAAATTATATATCAGTCAAGTGTGGATAAGCTGGAATTTAGTCATTGTGGATCCTGATCCTAATTGTGCCAGTATTACTCAAGCCTCTCCACGCAGTTGGAGGTCCTCGTCTCCAATGCTTGCTGATGATCCTGATGATCTCGGTGAATGACATTTTAAGCCTGTCGGTATGCCGTTCCCACCCACTAACTTTGGGTTGTTCGTTGTTGGAATTCTACGCCACCAACTTTCACATTGAATTCAAGCCGGTACTACTTTGTAAAGCTGGTGAAAATGGTTGCCAAGGATATCGCAGGTTGCAGGTTTTCCACCTCCCCGACGACCCTCTGAATATTTTACCTGAAGAAATCAAGCGTGTTTTACAGTTTACGCTGTTGGTGGGTCGATTATCGCATCAATTTGTCTAAGAGACGGCTAAATTGGCTCGAGCCCTTTTTCGGGTCGGAAGATTCTCGGTCACCAAAGGAAATATCCACCCGTTCATCGGGTATCGTTAGGTTCGACAACGTTTTGACCGTGGCTCAGAGCTTGGTTACCTCAGAGAAATAGTTAAGTGTTCCACCCACTTGTTCCGCTTATGCAGCTCAACTTGACGCAGTAAGTTTGGACGGATTCTCGCATAACGGCCTGCCGCGATGAAGCGGACGGCAGCGGATACAGTCGTTGACGTCGGTTGGTTTTGGGGAAAGCATTGAAGGTGTTCTCAGTAAATTTCGTGAACCTAGGCCAGTTAGCTTTTTTTTTGAAGTTAACAAACGTCCGGTAGCCCACATAAACAAAGAAGGCCGGCCTTTCAAGGGAGAATTTTATCAATATCGGACCAGCATTCGCAA